ATTTTTTGATGGTAAATGCGAGTAAACAAACGGGGCTATCGGACGTTTTAGGTGTACCTAGAGCTCAATCAATTGTTCCCAATCGTCACTTGTTTTAAATTTTCTGTTTTCGGGTGTACGTACACCCCAGCCTTCGACAGGCCGGGGTGTGCGTACACTCAAACTGCCACTCAGCCACCAATGAGCCACAGCCAACTCGAATGAAACCATTCCTCTTTTAATTTGCAAAAAGTTTTAAAGCTAGACAGCTCCGGAGGGTTTAGGGTTTAGGGTTTAGGGTTTGCAGCTGTTTCCATCCCCTCCTCTTCAGCCCCCTGGCTTGGCTGTCTTAGTGCCACTTCAAAAGGCGCATTTCTGGCCTTGAGGGTTTAGGGCTCTTAGGGTTTAGGGTTTCAAGTTTAGGGTTCAGGGTTTTTAGGATTTAGCGCCGCCTTTAGGGTTTAGGGTTTGAAGCTTCCGGCTCCTGGCTGAGCCGCTGCACACAAACTATGAGCTTTACGTAAACCCCAAACACTCAGCCTGCTCGTCCTTGAGCTCTAAACCCCAAACCCTAAACCCTAAACCCTAAGCCCTAAACCTTCATTGTGCAGCTTCTCACAGCGGCAACTATCCGAAATAAAAAAGCCAAGAAAAAAACTGAGTCCCTAGGGTTTTTGCCAATCAGAAAAGCGGCAAAAACCAAGCCCCAGCGCAATCCCTACATTGCATGCATGCAAAACTGCATGCATGCAAAATTGCATGCATGCATGCATGCATGAAATTTTGCATGCACGCAAAACTGCATGCATGCGCGTTTGGAGCTTGGTGGCCAGCATTCTTGGGGCTTTAGATGCATGCATGCACTTAAAGTCCCAAACGCACCACTGCAAGCGCGGATGTGTCAGTAAAATAAAACGAAAAAAGAAAAAGCTAGGGTTTAGGGTTTAGGGTTTAGGGTTTGGACTGCAGGCCTGCAGCGCCGAGGGGCTAGCAGATGCTGCTTCAAAGCCAAGCGGCCGTAAAACCGCCGCTGGCACCTCTCACACACTATCCACCTGAAGCGCACACAAAACCTATTTTAGGGTTTAGGGTTTAGAGTTGGCAAACCCTGCTTTAGGGTTTAGAGTTTGGGTCGAGGTAGCATATATGGAAAAAATCGCGCTGTTGACTGCGCATGCAGCTAGGGCTTCTCCGCGCGTTTAAAATGCCTTTTAATGGATTTAAAAAGAACCAAAAACGCAAAAAGCATTAAAAAGAAAAAGAAAAGTCCTTACTTGTTTTCCTCTGCTCCTTCCAGGTCTCTGAGCCTCACAGCGCCTGCAGAACACGCCAGCTGCACTCGAAGTTGAATTGGATCATTCTGGAGTCCAAATTGTCCATTTTGGGGTTTAAATGGTTCATTTTGAAGCTAACTTAATTAAGTTAAAGGTTTAAATGACTTATTTTGAGAAATTAAGCTCCAATTCTGCGAAAATCCCGAAAAAAGCTCCAAAAAAACTCCGAAAAACGCGAAAACGCGGCAGCTTCCCAGGTGTGCGAAAACCCTCTACATCGAGAAATTCAATTCTAATTCATTTATGATATTTCTCATATTTCAAAATGTCCTTTTTTGGGTTCATTTTAAATTCTTTTTTTGATTTTATTTTTAAATTCTTTTTTCTATTTTTTGCCGCATTCGGAAAGTTTAACTTTCCTTTTGTTTGCTGAAAAGCCCGGCGGCTGCAGAATTCAAAAAGTTCATAATTTGCAATTTTCCGAATTTTCGAAAAAAGCTCCATTCTTTATTTTTTAATTCGTTTTTGATCTTTTTGATTCTTTTTTGATATTTTAAAATTCGTTTTCGATCACTTTTATTCCTTTTTGACTTTTATTTTTCTTTTTTCGACCTTTTCGACTTTAATTTATTCATTTTCGCCTTTTATTTATTCATTTTGGACTTTTATGTTTTTTTACTTTAAACTTCTCATTTGCCAAATTGCCAGAAATGGCGCTTTGAAAATATTTCAGAAATGAACTTTCCATCCAGAGTCTACTGCGTCTCAATTTTCCTCTTTATAATTTTTTGTTTCTTTTATTTCTTTTATTTCTTTTTTCTTTTTTCTTTTTCCTTTTTTCTTTTTTTTCTGTTTCTTATTTTTCGCTCTTTCTTCTTTTTCTCCCCTTTCTTTTTTTCTTTCTTTTCCTATTTTCACAATTTTTATTTTGTTGCATTCTTCCGCATTCGCCTTCGCTGTTATTATGGCCATTATTATTATTATTTATTATTATTATTATTATTGTTATTGTTTGTTTGATCAATATCATTATTGTTATTAATTAAGAATAAAAAATCTGCAAGATGAAAGAAAAAGAGGCAAACAGCGAAAATGTAAAAAACAAAAAACTCGACAAACCTGACATTTGTGCAGCAGCAGCAAACTCCGAATCTTCACAGAAGGGCTCCCCGCTCATAAACCCTGCGAACAACAAAACCCTAAATTAGGGTTTGGGCCTTAGCGAGAGTTTCGGCGCACAGTTGAGGGTTTACGCCGCTAGGGTTTCGTAGACTTCAAGAAAAAACCCTAAACCCTAAACCCTAAACCCGAAACCCTAAACCCTGAAGTGTGGTTTCACTGTCGACAATCTTGAGGGCTTTTCCGCAGATCATTTCCTCCCAGTTCTCGACTGCCTCTGCAGACACAAGGGCTCCTTAGCTGGGCATGAGGGTTTGAGGGTTTAGGGTTTAGGGTTTAGGTTTTAGGGTTTACCGTCTGTGGCTTCGAGGAAGTAAAGAGGCAGGTTTCTGCGGCGAATCAAAAACTTGTTTCTTATCCACTTTCGCTGCTGCTTTGAATACTGCAGCGAACGCAAAACCACCAAATCTAAACACTTCTTCAAACTTTCATTTATTTCTTCTTTTTCATTTTCGCCGGGGTTCAAACTCCCCTGGGGGACCCCCTGGGGGGCCCCCTCAGGGGCCCTCTGGGGGCCCCCCTGAGGGCTCCCCTGGGGGCCCCCAGGCAGCACCAAAGGCAGGAACTCCTTATACCCTACACGCCCACACACATGTACACACTGCTACTCTAAACGCACCCAAATCCTAAACCCTAAACCCTAAACCCTAAACCCTAAACCCTAGCCCTCACTATTTCATGTTTCTCACCAATGCCTTGTAAAACTCCTCCTCTAAACCCTTCTAACTTCTTTCTTTCCGTTGGCAGATTCACATCTTCTTCTGACTCAGAAAGAGGTCCCTGGGGGCCCCCCGGGCCCCCACGGGAGCCCCCTTGGGAGTCCCCTTGGGGGCCCCTGTGGGGGCCCCCCGAGGGGGCCCCCCGGGGGCTCTCTTGGGGGGCCTCCTGGGGGCCCCCTTTGGGGGTCCCCTCGGGGGCCCCTGGAGGTTCTGGGGGCCAGGATTGCAAATTAAGTTCTTTGGCGAGCCATTTGACTTCTTCTAAAAGTCCTTTCTGAAAACAAAAATATAAAAAGAAGAAATAAAAAAGAAATTCATTTTTTGATGCATTTGAAGAA